CCGCAGGTCCGCAACCAGTATATCCTGGGCGACAAGGCCGCGGCGCGGACCCTGGTCGCCACCATCGGCCGGTGGCAGTCGGTGCTGCACGACGAGGTCTGGGTCTTCAACCAGGGCTACTGGCGCAAGGACCCCCTTTTGTACCGCAGCATCCTGAAGTCGCGCTGGGAGGACGTCATCCTCGACCGCGAGTTCAAACGGGACCTAGTCGACACGGTGCAGCGCTTCTTCGACTCGCGCGAGGAGTACACCCACCTGGGCGTGCCCTGGAAACGTGGCGTCATCTTCTACGGACCGCCCGGGAACGGCAAGACCATCTCGATCAAGGCCACCATGCACACGCTGTACAGCCGCGAGCCGGCCGTGCCGACGCTGTATGTCAAGTCGCTGGTGGGCTTCGCCCCGCCCGAGTACAGCATCGAGGCCATCTTCCAAAAGGCCCGGCAGGAGGCCCCCTGCTACCTGGTCTTCGAGGACCTCGACAGCCTCGTCACCGACCAGGTGCGCAGCTTCTTCCTCAACGCCGTCGACGGCCTCTCCCAGAACGACGGCATCTTCATGGTCGGCAGCACGAACCACCTCGACCGCCTGGACCCGGGCATCGCCAAGCGTCCCTCCCGCTTCGACAGGAAGTATCTCTTCGGCAACCCCAACCTGGCCCAGCGCGTCCAGTACTGCCACTTTTGGCAGAAGAAGCTGCGCGACAACAAGGACCTCGAGTTTCCCGACGAGATTTGCACCGCCGCGGCGAAGATCACCGCCGACTTCTCCTTTGCGTATATCCAGGAGGCGTTTATATCGGCTCTCTTGGAGATTGCGCGCGAGAAAGACGGCGATGATCACTCGGGCGAGGACGGGGTGGTGGTGGTATCTTCATCATCTGCAAGGGATGATGCGCTGGCAGAGGACCTGCGGGAGCAGTGGGAGCTGTTGGACATTGGCGGCAAAGGCCCCCGCGACGACATATCGTCTACCAAAGATAATGATTTGGATGACTATATCCTGTGGAGAAAGTTGAAGCATCAAATTGACCTGTTGAGGAAGCAGATTTCAAAGAAAGCACCCGCCGGCGCCGGTGAGGAGTGAAAAAAAGCAACGACTGCGGGATGGACAACACCTCTCTATACATGATTCAGACACACATGGGGCCAGCACGTTCGGTTGCTCTCAAAAAATCAGTCTTTTCCCATCACTGGAGACATGGTGCAGAGCACGGAAGTGGGATGCGGGTTTCTCGAGAAAGAACACCAGCTTGTTTGCGCTGCTTGATTGTATTCTCTCCATCTCCCAAAAGCTTTGCAGGTTGATGCAAGTAAAAAGATTTGTGGACAAAGAAAGGGGTTGGAAGTGAATAGCAATGGAATGGATGGTTTCACGGGTCTGATTTGGACACTCGTTGCAGGGGCTGTGAGGCCTAGTTGACATGCTCATGCAGAGGATGGAGGCATGGCTGCAAAGAATATCATCGGTATAGGCTTCTTATATTGGTCTGTTTCTATGCAGATGACCTGAGAGTCCTCCCAACCATTCTCAGTGTCCAGATGAGCGGGCGGTCACGAGTAGGCCATCTTTTCACTGCGATATTGCCCTTGCCCCGTTCATCAAGGAGTGCAGCCGCATAGGACCAAATTGACGCAGTGAGACGTGCATAATGCTCGCAGTCGTGCCACGTTCAATATGTCTGGGGTCTGGTCCAAGATGAAATATCGGCTCTCTTGACCAACCATTCCGCCAACCTGCATGCGTAGCACACACGTTTCGCTACAGCTCTTGCACAGCCATTTTTCAGTGGTCCGCCCTCATTGCCCGTCTTCTCCTGGCTCCTGTCTTTGCTTCGCCTGGTGGAACTGGACCACAGTTCATGTGTAACAGTAGGTTGCCTTAAACTGGGGAGGATAGGCTGCGGGGAACGAGTGCTTGTTCCTGACCCAAGACCAATATCATGAGACAGGTGCGAGGACAGAGAGAGCAAATGTTGGTTCTGAATCTGCAACTGGTCATTTAGCACTACAATAGCATCACAAAAGTAAGCAACGGGACAAGTAATCCAGGTATGCTGTCAACAGTCCTCTTGGATACACCAGTTCATTGCTGAGAGAGTGATCTCTGCGACCCGCGGATAGGGCCCGGTGTAGGTGTAGGTGTGGTATACGAGGCGTGAGAGAATATTTGAGTATAGTCAGCAAGCGTATCTTGATGCTATATCTTGTAGACGTAGACTGGACGACAATAAGTAATAGCAACTACCGCAGATGAGACTTGGAGTGACGGAATTTGGAAAGTGCGTTTCGTGGAAAATGCTCGGCCCGTGACTACGGAGAATCATAGATACAGAAGCCCCTGCGGGTTTCCAAACATCTCAAGAATCGGGTCTGGGTGGTTCTTCCAATCACGCCTTCGCGACCTTCGTTCAACAAAATCCGCTGTCGCACCGTCTCGTCAAAACATCATTTTCTGGTTTATCCTTCCGTTAATATTTGTAGTCTCGCATGATGTTGTCTGCTCCGTCGGCAACAATTTCAGCTGAGACGCGTGCGACGCAAAATGGATGAAATGGCGCCGACTTCGAGAAAGTCCAAAACCACTTGTATGCAATGTCGTGCTCGGAAGGTAAGCGGAGGACGAATCGCCCCAGGAGATGTGGATTTTTGACCTTCAGCGACTGAACTCATGCGACAGGTGCGTTGTGATGGGCGTCCTAACTGTTGTCGCAATTGCGAGCGCCTCAGGTTTGATTGTTCATTTCAACCAAGGGAGGCTGGTGTTGCGGGCGATTCGCCGTCAGGCGACCAATCACTGGTCCAGCTAGAGAGACGACGCGGGATTCGCGCTTGCACAGAATGTCGTTCTCAGAAAATCCGATGCGGTGGAGAATCTCCTGCTTGTTCGAATTGTCTTCGAAGGAATCGACCTTGTGTCTATCCTGCACTCAAGAGGCCGCATCGGACGCCACAGACCTCTAGTTTGCCATCACCTGCCGTGTCGCAGCGTCCCGATAATCAGCTGCAATTCCCATCTCAGTTGGACACGCGGTCCACTGAAGCTGGCCACACTCCTCTATCAAACGATGGCGCGCTTCCAGACCGCCAGGAAATCATATCGCTGGTCGAGGCTTATTTCCAGCACATATATGCCCTTCCCTGGTATGCATTCTTGCACAAACGATCGGTAATGCAAAGATGCCACGAAGGAACGATTGAAGACTGTTTGGCATTTGCAATCTGTGCCGTAACGAGTCAGCGTCTCAAGATTGAGCCGTACGCTCGGGAAATAAGTGCCCAATGGGCCCAGAAGGCCGAAGACTTTCTCTTACAAAATTTGGAAAGCCCTTCCACTTCTCGACTCCAGGCTCTCATCTTGATTGTCCGGTATAGAGTGGAGGTAGGTCACTTCTCAAGGGCATTTATGCTTGCTGCACTAGCGGGGCGGTCGGCCGTTGCGCTCAGACTGAACTACGAGCGTCCTGAATTGCGTTTCCTGGCCCAAGAAGTGCGGCGGCGACTGATGTGGTCATGTTTCGCCCTCGATGGCAACTTCTCCGTCGGCCTACGAGAATTCGAGACATGTCCACCGGAGAACGTCTTCCTCCAACTTCCATGTCCAGAAACGGCTTTCGAGCAAGATGCCCCAGTGGAAACAGCCCCGTTGAGGGCAACATCTTTCGACAGACCCGAACGCATCGGGACCTATGCTGCATGTATCAGGCTGGCGGCTATAAGAACAGACATTATGAGGTAGATTGTCAGCTGTCAGATTTCCGTTCTATGCTGACTGATACAGACTGACACGCCGGCTTGCATCGTCATTAGTCCCTCCAGGAGAGCTCATGCACACAGTTCGGCGGTTTGAAGACGAGCTACAGCACTTATACCGAAGCCTTGCCGACTCTGATCGCTACAACCCCAAGATCTTCTCCTACTGCGAACGACCCGCCCGAATCCTCATGGTGCACGAATGTTGGCACCAAGCATACACCGATCTGTATCGGATATTTTTGACCGGCTATAGAGAGGCCGCTCCTCCTTCGGCTATGGAAGGCATCAATCGTGAAGACATCCTCCGCAGGCGGACTCTGTGTCTGAATCACGCTTTATCAATTGTCCAGATCTTTGCAGCATTTTCAGAGCAATGTAAAGTTCTGACCATCGACTTTGACACCGCAATCTGCGCGTACCATAGCGCTCGAATTATCCTTTTTAGCGCTCAAACAGACGTTGTCACGCAAAGTCTGAGTATGCCGGCGGCTCTGGAAAAGGCTCGCTTCTGCCAATCTATCATGAACAGGTTTTTCCGTACCTCTCCTGTAGTCGAGCCGATGAAGAAAGAACTCGAGATGCTCATCGCCCGCCATTCGTCTCAGAACACCAGCACTGGCATACAACTACCGCACCCTGAAGAAATACTGGAGGACCATCTGTCAAGGCTTGCAGATGAAGCTAGGACCAGACAACGCCTGGCAATCCATAGTCTGATAGGCCGAGCAGACTTTGTTGACGACAGCAATGAGGTGACCAGTCCCGCACCCCCTCGGGACAATAATTCCAACGGCATTTCCACCGCCTCCCTAAGATCGCAACGCCAGCGTCCGCCGAGAAATACTATGACCGTCAAGCCCAACCCTCAAATCCTTCGCTCTCAGAGTGTCCCTGGCGTGTCCCAGACAGGACAATCCAAACAGCCGGATCGTGTCAACGAAGGTGGAAGCGGGGAGCCAACAAACTATGCCCTCGAAGACCAGGGCCAATGGCTGGACGGCATGCGCCTCGCCTTCAATCCGTGGATGGGATGGCCCGAGACATTGGAAACATATGGATTTTCTCAAGATTTAGACGACGAATACTTCTAGCCGATATTTTTACCAAGATCTAATTCCACGACAAACGACGCCGGCTTGCTCATCATGCCATTCAAATCAACCTGCGCCTCCGCTAACATGAACGTGAACACATGTTCTTGCATGGCTATCAGCTCGATGCAAAGTCATAGCAACTTTATGACACTCAGACGATGCTTCTGGACTCTTGTGACTTCTCTGCTTTGTTGAGCAAGAACATAAATGTCACTATGAGTTTACCGATTGCTGAAAACAAAACCGAGGTCGCTGGACCAAGACTCCGATATATGCCTGCGCCAAAGAAAGCTCCCGCCACAATGGCCACTAGAAAACTCGCCCGACGGTTCCGAGGGCGATTCTTTGCTGTAAGCAGACGAGGGTCGATCAGCAGATCAATCCATGCTGCCGTCGCCATTGCTGTGGTGATTTCCGTGATCGCCAATGCTCTTGATATGACGACCTGACTCCCGGCCGCGAAGGCCAGTAGGCCGATAACCACCATGGTTTTGGTGCCTTCCAGCTCAATACCATAGGCGTATTGAATTGCAGCCGCGACGAAGACAAGTATAGTCTGGATCAAATTGCAAAATACGATCCAGAGACGAGACCGTGCCCCAACGATGTGACCCAGTTGACCAGTTAGCCACCCTGCGGCCAGAAAAAACCCCAAAGCGATTCCAATGTTTTCTGTGATGAACAGTTCCCCAGCCACCTCCGGAAGGAGGATGGCCATTGCTAGCATGACTGTGTTGCCCGTCTGGTTCGAAGCAAAGCAATGGTAGTCTGGGAAGGTCGTCGCGTCTTGCATTCCGGTACAGAAAGTGAGAATTAGGAGTTCCGTCTCGGCGAGAATGTTGACTTCGATGTGGCTTGTCAAATGTTGTTTCAAGCGCCTCACGGCTGATTTTTGTTGCGGTTCCTTGACTGCGAGGTTGACCTGCGCGGCATGGTCCTGCTCTTTCGCCTCGCTCGAGACGCTACTACTCTGGTTCATGGAAGCCATTGCTGGGATTTAGCAAGCTAAGCAGGTGGCTGGGGGGGAGATCAACAACTTGTGAATCAGGTCTTCAAAGGGTTGCCGGCAACAGCAGCAACAGCAGAAGCAGAAGATGAAAGAGTTTGTTTCTCAAAAGCAGACAAAGAACCCGAGCCCGCCAGTATTTGTGGAAACCACACACCGGTATTCCAAACGCTCGGAATATCACCTTGCTGGCTCGCCCCTCCTTACGCTGCCATGGCTGCATCATCCTGCGATGCTTCGGGTGTCCTCTCAGCATCGAGAAGTCCGATTCGGAACGGATATGTGACCAGGATACTGTCATTTACACACAATTACACATTGAGCATGAGACGATACAAGAGCCTTGCGCTGTGGACGAATCGCATACACGTCCGACTTCCGTCCCGAGAAGCGGCATTGTTACAGATACCTCGATTGTCGGACTACACAGTTACTAGCAAGTCACCCAGCGCCTGTCCGACTCCCGGATTGTCCACCGATTGCCGTAGCCTTACTTGCGATTGACCTCATTTCTACAAGAACCGTGGTTCGACTGTACTCATGGTCGGATCGCCGGATGTTTGGAGCATTCATGAGGGCCTGTTTCTCGATCGCCATACCTTGGCATTCAACTCAGCAGAGACAATTTGGAGTTAAAGAAACAATAGCTGTCGGTCACAGTCTCAACGCCCATCAAAGAAAAGCAAATACCATCAGCGGCAATGGCACGATATGAGTACCCCTACTCGAGGTGTTTTTACAAGACACAACTTAGGAAAGGACTATAGTCGAGTCCAGCCTGGAGCATTGACCGCCCATTCAAGTGTGCAAGTCCATCTGCGACATTCCCACTGCCGAGAGAAATTTGGGCGACTCACTTACTGGCTCCACGTACCATAACTCTTCACTCCGACGTAATGGATGGTTCGGATGTGCTTCCGGATTTCCTTGACCGGATCATCAGGCTGCTTGCTAAACAGTGAAACACCAATCTGTTCGCAGGGCAAGCATTGCATGAGTAACCGCAATTCCTGCCTCGGAAGCAGAACGAATGCATCCTAGAAGACACAGAACGGCATAAAGCCGATGTAGAGAAGCGGTGCCCTCACCGTTGTCTGGTGGACCAGAAGTCCACGGTCGCAGCTCCATTCCTGCAGGAAGGTTAGGGCGGTGCTTCAGCCCAATCTTCTTGGGCCACTGAGATGTTTAAGAAGGCAAAACTTCCCTGAGAATGTCCGAACCAGGCCAAGATCTTACGGACTACAACCTTTGAGGTGCCTCTGCAGGATAACAAGCTACAGGGAAGAGTTGGTTATCGTGGTTTCTTGAAGTCTTAGAAGTCGACTCGCATTCAGAATTGCTCGCCACATGGTTAGGAACCTGATGGCTTCGTGAACATACACACACACACACACACACACCGGGTTTTGTGTCTCAAAAAGACTGCTGGATGGACCCGGTCGGAGCATTCTGGAATCCACACCATTCAGTCTTCTTCGTGGAGCAGAGCCCCCTTCTAAGCATAGAACTCGGCTGTCGGGGTTTCTGGATCGGCTGTCGCTGTGACCGGCTGGACGGATTACGGTGGACACACAACCTCTTACGAGCAAGTCGCCGTTGGAAACCCAAGAAAAATTGGCGACGTCGTACCCACTCAACACTCCAGACGTGAGCAATGACAAGACTGAGTCATTTGACGCGGGGGCTTTTCATCGAGGTCCAAAGGCTGCATCCCAAAGGGGGTGGGACTTTTCTCCCTGATATGGTACCCCGTCGACCCCTAGCCTTCGTCATTCCCCGAGTGCCCGCCACCAGTCGCCGTGAAGCGTGGCAAACCAGCCTCGATCCAACATGCCCTCGTTTTGACGGTGTAATGACAAGTGGAAACCTAGGCGTCACGGCACCGGAGTTCCCTTGGCTAACAAGCCATGTTGGGCCGACCAAGACCGACAAACGTCGCGTGAGCAACAACAAAAAAGGTCCTTCGGCGTTCACTTTGAGACCAAGACTTTTTGTACGCTCTCTCCCTTCTTGCCCATGTTGGGAGACGTTTGTCGGGAAATGAATCGATTTGTCTTGGTTTTTGCAAAATCTGGCATGCTGTTGCCGCCGAGCCAGGATGGTTTTTTTTTTCTTTCTGCCTGCCTACGTTGAGTTTTGACCGTGGCTAGACCCGGAGCCCAGATCCTCTCACTGCGCCCCCCTCCCTCTTCTTTCATGGAGTGGTACTATGAGCACAAACGCATACAAGTACATCCATACGCACACGCACACACGCACACACGCACACACACACACACACACACACGCACACACGCACACATGCACACATGCACGCACACACATACACACATCTGTATAGGGCGAATGTTGTGCCCCCCTTTTTTTGCCTCGCATCTTTTTGGTGGGTGTCGTACAAAGCTCCGAATGACGAGGAATCAGGCCCACAACTTAGGGGAAAGAGAGGGGAGATAAGAAAGGAAGAACAGGACTTAATTCAGCGCTATTTCGGTACGTCATATGCTCAAACTGGGAGTGTCTATTGCTGGGAACTTGAGATTCCCGATATGATTTCATCCATCATGACACGGTATGGATACAAGTATGATGGGCGTGGTGGCGTTAACGGTGTGTACATACTACTTCAGTGGACATTTAGCTTGACATACCCAGTTGGTATCCGAAGGGTCGAGCCTGGAGAGATGGAAAGGAAATAGCTGGACATTGAATCATCGTATATAGTCTGTTCCCTCCTGGGGGAATCAACCACATATGTTTCGTTCATTCTGTATATTTGCACATTCCCTGTGCACGCGCCGGAGAGGATCAATGAAACGACTTGAACTCGGGTTTGATGTGCGTGTCACTCATCTCCATGCCCTTGTTGGTCATCATTGCGATGCCGCGCTTGTGCTGCTGCAACTGTCTAATGCCCTCTTCCACGGAATCCTCAACCACGTAGCGCGTGACATGCACGGCTTTTTGCTGGCCAATGCGGATGGTGCGGCCGATAGCCTGGGCTTCGACGCTGGGGTTCCATTGCGGCTCGACAAGGAAGACACGGTTTGCGGCAACGATGTTCAGGCCAAAGGCGCCCACGCCCGTGGTCATGATCAGCACGGGGATGCACGGGTCGGTCTGAAAGCGCGTGAGCATGTTCTGACGGTGCTTGAATGAGTGCTCGCCATCGATCCGCTCGAACGGAATCCCCCACCATTGCAGGTGTTGGCCGATCAGGTCCAGCGTCGTTGTCCAGCACGAGAAGACGATGCTCTTGTCACCCGCAGCTGCGGCACTTCTTAGGTCCTCGGCTAGAGCAATCATCTTGGAAGAGTGGCCTGTGGAGCGCAGGTTGCCTTGGTGCAGCTGGGATCGGGAGATCTCTCCCGCCGCGGGTCGTTGATAACCAAGAGGTCGAAGCGTCGCCTCGCACACTGGACAATTGTCCCCTGTGCCTTCTTTGCACTCAGAGCACAGTACATGTGCACAGACATTGGACAGGCTGGAAGCCCGGTTCGAGAGGACAGCGTACACTGTTTGTGCGCACGCTGAACACTTGACCTCGCCGTTGTTGCCTGCAGAGCTTAGAGCATCTTCTCGAGCATCCCGGATGTTCCTGCTTTTAACCCAATGGAACTGATGTTGGAAAGTCCCATGATTGCAGAGAAGGCGTAGTTGCAGTTGCATTTGAAACAAACTGAATCTGGTTCGGCTCTCGGGCAGGCCGACGAGCTGCTGCAATGTCCGTTTCATGTCCTCTCTTGTCTTGTTATACTGTGCTCGCTCTTCAGGGGATAACTGAATTCTGCTGATCGTCTCTATAGGCATAGCCAGCTTCAGATGATCCTTTGGACGTCTGATGCCAACCGAGTCGAAGAGTTGGACAAGATTCCGTTGGCCCTGCTGGCGCTGAATCCCCCCTTCGTGCCATGGGACCGTGATGAATTTGCGGAAGACTCCCGGTCTATCGAATGGGAATATCTTGATGAAGGCGAAGAGAGAACCAATATCATCTAGAGTGTTTTGTATAGGCGTTCCCGTCACACACCAGCGAAACTTTGCGTTAAGTCCAGCGACTCCCTTGTGTAGAAAACTGGTATTTCTCCGAATGAAGTGTGCCTCGTCCAAAACGATGCGATACCAAGTCACCTCTGTGGCAGGATTCGTTCGGCGATTGTCCGCGACGATTGTATGGTAAGTTGTCAAGACAATGTCATGGTCGGCCACGACTCGAGGATCGCTGGTTCTCGCACTCCCGTGATATTTCAGGACTCTCAATGGCAAATTGACGCGCTTTCGAATCTCATATTCCCAAGCATCCAGCAACAGCGAAGATGGCACAACGACTAGCGTCGCCCTCGAAAGGATTTTGGTCAGGATGATCTCTTCTGCGGTGTGGACGTCCGGGTCGTTGGACCATTGTCTTGCCTCATCCAGCGTCCGAACTATCAGTGCTAGAATCGAATAGGTCTTGCCCATACCCATTTCATCGGCCAAAATACCGCCACCAGCTTCCACTGGCTCTGTCCGAGACTTCATGCCTGTAATTTTGTGCCGATACCTGTGCTCTGACTCAGCCCACGTAGCTTCCCATAGCTGAAATTCTTCAGGAATGGGGCCGGTCTCTCGTTGGATCATAAAGTCTAGAGCCTTTTCCTGGTGCTGTAGAAGTGGGGTGAGAAGGTGAGCATCACCAGCTAAGCCTTGGAGGTGCAAATTACGCGTCAGCATCGAGTACATCTGTTCGACCGAATCATGAAAGTCCGAGGCTCTAGGGGTATGTTCCAACTGGTAGGGAGTATCCAGCTCACTTTGCTGGTGAGTGCCGAACTTCAAGACGTGCGGATTGTCATATGTCGAGCCCGGGCTCAGCCAGTCAGGTCGTTGTAGCCATATCTTTTTCGCAGAAAAGTCACTACCGATAGAGCTTTGTAACTCTTCAGTCCCATACACGTTGATGTTGATGGTTGTAAGCGCGTCTCTCGCTCTTGTGGCGGCCCCAATGTCTCTGAATGAGTCAGTCCTGTCGCGCACATTTGAGGCACAGCACGAAGACGGCGATGCCCAAATAGCCGGAGGATGGAAAATGGAGGTAGTCAAGAAAGAAAGCCGTTGCCACTCATTTACAAGACTACAGAATGCATTTCAGGTGCGCTTATATGGGTGACTTACTCGAGTATCGTCCTTCGGTGAGCCAGGGCCTCAAGATGGATCTTTCGGGCTTTTACGTGGCCCGCCAATGCCTCAGTCAAGTGGAGGTTGAGTATTGCAATTCGCATACCACCTGGGATGCAGATGGAAAGCTCATCATCGATGCACACGATTTCGAGGATAAAATGCGTCCGAGCCTGAGTCGCATTCTCCCTTAGACATCGCGATACTTCAGACATGTTCCCTTGAAGCTGAGCATTTGCGCGGTAAATCTGCATGCAGAAATATCAGCCGCAGGCGTCGAGAGGGAGTCCACCTCTCTTGATGTGTGGAGCGCAGGCAATCACTGACCATGCCATAGCATCGATTGAAACCATCTTGTAGGGGACCGACGGCGTCTCCTCGGTCTATGCGCAACTCATCCGCATCTTCAAAGGGAGTAATCTTCAGATCCTTTGCGACCCAAGATTCGATATCGTCCTGCACATCGTGGATAGCCGGAAAGATGTTATTTGTGTTGCCTCCTTCGACATTGTCAACGTTGTGATCGGGGTGGCTGGGATTGCCAATAAGCTCGTTCCAGACATGGTTCCAGTGACCGGTACCAACATCAAGAGGTAATTCGGAGCCCCCGTCGAGGCCTTGTGGGTGCTGTGAGGAATGCGGCGGAAATGAGAAGGGCACGAAGGGGTCGCTGTTGTCAAAGTGATCGAGGGAATCTCCGGTCCGTTTGAATGATGTCATAATGGAGGAGCCGCAGTGGGTGTCTTGGATGGAACTTTTTGCGGACTATCGTAGTAATAGTGGTTGGCATTAGTATCATTGTCTCTTGAGTGCCGGTACACCCGATTCAAGACCTCCATACCACGAAAAAGCAAGTCCTATCAGCCCAGAGAGAAAGCCTCGAGGATGCCATGCTGCTGCCCAAGTCAGCCTCACAGAAGGCGCACTCCTCCTGCAAGCCAATCTGCCTTCCTGCGCCTGCGCCTGCGCCTGCACCTGCGCCTGCACCTGCGCCTGCACATGCCTCACTCTCAACCCTTGACCTAATCGTGCCACCTGTCCGATATGACTCTAAAATTATGGAAACTGCGTCCGGGAACGTTCTGATGCTGCCCCGACTGTGATCGATGGAGCGATCTTCCGAAGCTTTAAGCGTCCTGAAGACACACTCCATTTGATTGCGAAGGATTCGGGGTATTGACGAGAAAAACAACCATCAAAGTTCGGTTGACTTGGTCAATGACTTTGTTTCCTATGTGCCACTGATGTGCAATGGCTGCAACAACACAAGGCTCCTCAACTGCTGCTCCTCTTTTCCAACTCGAGCTGACAAAGTTCAAAAGTCGTTTGACCGGGAAGCAGTTGCAAAGCTTCGAGTTCGCATCTCTAGAGCAGGTCGAGGTTGAGGTCAATAATATTCAGAGACGTCAAGACACACAGCGAGGACTACGTAACTTGACTCGAATTCGGCGCTTCATAGAGGCGATGGAGCAGTTTGGCAAGATCATCGAAGTCTTCGTCAATACTAGTGATGTCCTTGCCTTTGTTTGGGGACCCTTGAAGTTCCTCCTCCTCGTCTCGAGCACCTCGGCGGATTGCCTCGACAAGATTTTGGACGCCTACGAGCGAATCGGTGAAGTATTACCCCTGTTCCAGCTGTACGAGTCGCTTTTGCAACAGTATCCAGAGATGCAAAAGGTTCTTGCCATGATGTACAAGGACATTCTTGAATTTCATCTGCCCGCAATTCGTGTCCTCGACCGGCCAGGTGAGCAACAGTGCGCAATCACCGTTTCTCTCTTACTGACTTTCCTTGAGGTTGGAAACATCTTTTTCGATCTGCATGGGGTGACTTCAATACAAAGTTTGAAGGAATTCTCCGGAATCTCAATCGGCATGGACAATTGATTGAATCACAATTCAACCTGCTCCAGGCTGATCGGCACGAAAAGCACCAAACAGAGGTACTCAGGGCAATCCTGGATGTCGAGACGGAGGTGCGCCTTGCACGAGAATTATTTGAAAAGGAGGAAAAAATCCGTAAACAGGAGCGGTTGTCTGCAATACGAGTCTGGATAGGGGGAAATACCACTTGCGACTCGCATGAGTCAGCTATAAGAGCCCGCGAAGGGTATGCTCAGACGGGATTGTGGATCACACAGAAGGAAAAGGTTTCCAGCTGGCTCGCAGACGACCTTCCCCGGTCCTCAATACTATGGATGCACGGCATTCCAGGCGCAGGTAAAGAAGGTACCGCTCCGAATGACATTTCACTGAATTGATTTAGGGAAAACAATATTGGCGTCGATCATCATTCAAGCTTGCCTTGAAGCTTGCGTGAGACAAAATCAACACAGAGCAGCGTACTTTTATTGCAGACGTGATGACATTACTACAACCACTTGTGTCGGGATTTTGAAGGGTCTTCTCGCTCAACAATTGTATTGGTATAGGGGTGATGATGTCGAATCTGATCTCACACCTGATCTCGTACCCTTTTTTGACGAGGAAAGGCGGAAAAGCTGCGAACCTGTCCTGTCTTCTGATCAGATCACAAAGAAGTTGTTCAGAACCGTCTCTGGAGAGGGCCAGCGCCAATACATAGTCGTTGATGGTTTGGACGAATGCCAACAAGAGGAACGGAGGTCGCTACTCCCGTTTCTTACCTCTTTGGTCAAAGGAGTTAACGATGGGGAGCCGGGAAAGCTACGTGTTCTCATAATCAGTCAAGAAGAGCCCGATATCAGGGGATTATTATCCGACGCGGAGGAGCTTACTATCACACGCGATGACAACAGCCAGGACATTCGTGCCTTTGTGCAAGCATGGACAGTCAAGATCCAGGAGAAGTTTGGACTTGGCGACCAAGCATCGTCTCTGTTGGCTCAGCACACATGCGGTAATGCAGCTGGTATGTGTACTCTGTTTCCGAAGGCGCGGACTTGCTAATTTCCTAAAGGTCAGTTCTTGTTTGCCAAACTGGTCATGGAAAACCTCCATCAGCAACTCGACCTTCGCGGTCTTCAGCGTGAACTTGAAAGCGAGCGTTTCCCAAAGGAGTTGGCAGAAGCGTGAGTAACGCTGGTTCCACTTCTGTGGCCGATACCCTTGGAGTGCTCGTCATTGGTTGCACCTATCTATACACTGTGCGAATGTTTTGTGTCTGCGCTGACGTTGGAACTCTTGGTAGGTATGATCGAATTATTGAACGCATCAAGCAACGGCATGGAGGGGTTGCACAATCATGGCGCAAAATACAAGAATTTTTAGGGTGGATGATTTGTGCCACACGACCACTCAAGTGGCACGAAATTCAGGGTGCAATGTCAATAGATCTTGACGAACAGCGAGTAGACCTTTGGACAAGTCAGTTGCGAGTAACCGCCCACGAATTGTGCGCACCTTTGGTGACGGTGAGCGGAGGCCGTGTAGTTCTCGTGCATGGCACGGCCAAGAGGTACGTACTATATCACTACTTTGCTTTTGGGGATGAATTAATCCTCGTCAAGATATATTACGCAGTCAGGTCACATCGATCTTCTGGCCATGGAATGCAGGCTGGCGAGCGTATGCTTGGGATACCTCGCTCACCCTTTGTTTGACGGAGCCGTTCTGGAGGAAGACGTACTCGACGGATCGTATGCCTTTGCGGACTATGCAGTTGCGAGATGGATGAACCATTTGGATACGATACTCGTTCAGCTGGCGGCAGTGAGTGACATCGAATTCGATACACACCAGACTGAGGTGCAAGAGCTCTGTGAAACAGCGGAGAGCATGCTACGAGCCATAGGGGAGGGTGAAGACGACCTTGAAATCGACCTCCGGGAGGCCAGAGCGTTGCAGTTGCAAGTCAGCCTGGAGCCTAATATCTGTAGCCGACTCAGAGACTTTGAGGGCGCTGCAGATGGATTTCAGTCTCTTTGGACTCACATGGTTCTGTATCGGAGCAAGGACGCTGATAAGCGTAGCGAAATCAGCCTGGAGAGGCTTCGCAATGCGATGGGAGGCATCCGCAGGTCACTGGAAGAGTTCTTTACGAACAGAGACTTGAGTGCTGAAAGTCTCGAGAGGGTAAAATCGCATTACGGCACCAAGTGTTTCCGATGCCCGAAGGTCACCTGCTTCTACTTTCACGAAGGGTTTACTGACGCAAAAACACGAGACAGACATGTTCGCAGACACGAGCGGCCATTTCAGTGTGGTGTGGTAGACTGCGACGTGTCGGACGTTGGATTTGGATCTAAGAAGGACCTTGAGAACCACATGCAGCGCTGCCATCCAAACACCGAGATCAAAGCTCAGCTCTTCAAGGAAATACAGACACCGAGACCCGGCCGTGCGAGGTTTGGCTGCGGAGAGTGCGGGAAGAGCTTTGTCCGTGCGTGGATATTAAAGGACCATCAACGAGCGCACAGAGACCAGAGGGACTACATGTGCGCGCGTTGTGGCAAGGCGTTTGTGAGGAAAAATGATTGCAGGCGACATGAGAAGATTCACGAGAACCGACCGTGAGATGAGGGAGAGGAGCACCTGTTCGTTCAGCAATAGGGTTACTCTTCACTTTGATGCATTAGGCTGGATTCACGATTCGCTTGAATACAAGCAGATAGTAATGATGCCCACCAACCAGTTTGTCCGTACCTCGTACTCAGGAGCCTTGATAACACCGAGTGTTTACCGAGAACACTGCGCGAGACAACCGTTCCAAGTGCTACTGCCGCAGTGGCAATGCACTTTTAGCGTCCCTACTCGAGTGTGCCTGAGCTAGCCTGGGGCTGGGGGACGCCTGGCACGGGGGTTCCAACTTGCTATAACACGTGGCCCTCGCTGTGGGGGTGTTCTTTCTAATGCTATTGGGTTTTCAGCATCCACGAGTGCCTGAGTGCCTATTAGTTGACGAGGCGTCTTTTATGTACAGCCGCACTGCACCATTGGGGAAAGAGCGAGAACTGGGTTCCTATCATGACTATACCATATGCTTTAAAATACTTGACATTGTACTTTGTGTTTCCTTTTAGCCCTTGACTCCTAGTCATGACATAGTGTGTACCGAGTAGATATCAGGTCACTCTACTAGGGATATTGTGCAGATATGCAGGAAACGGGTCTCAATATCTAAAATTTCCAACGAAGAAGTGCAACGTAACAATTGAATGCGCGTGCATTGCTTAATCTGTTCTACGCGGACATGAATGGTATCGTGCTCCAGGGGTGAGAATATGGATATGCATAAATGGCAAGAGGTTGTTGAATACCTCTACACACGGAAGTACCTCCGCTCTTGTGGCCTCTGCCTCATTGTTGGGGATCGGAGCGAAGGCGGACAGGAAACAAGGAAACGAGGCCACACTGGCCCACGGAGTTGTATTGACTCTCAACAGCCTTAATGACGTCTGGATTGTGTTGATCTATCGCTGGCTAAATCAGAAGAGAAGAGGGGGGGGAGGTGCGCTACATGCTAAGGAAGAAGGCAACCAAGTTCCTTCCCTCACTGCAAATTTAGCGTCATAGAGCTCCTGCAAGCGAGTACGAGGTGCAGGACAGAGATATCACTCCGCCAAGACGCTAAAGAGTGATGGCTGACTGAAGAATATGTGGGACGGCTCGTGCCGCTGTACCTTGTCCCCACAACCACATCGAACCACCTGCCCACTGCGCCACGCTTGATTAATCACATCACTCGATTGGGCGCCGAGTCAATCAGATCTTTCCGTAGATCCTGCACTCTGATCTTCCTTGCTCTGTCCGGTGTCCAATGGGCATCTCTCAACAAGAGAATGTCAATGGTTGCCTCGACCAATTCTGCGACTCGCAATTCTGCCAATTGCTGGCCGCGCTGCAATTCAACCAGTACTCCGACGCATCCGACGTCCTTGGTGAAGATCTGCGCCAGCGATTCCCCCATGTGATGTCATTTTATGAGCTGGAGATAGGATCGTTCCAAACAATTATAGCCAGAGAGCATTGCCCGTCGTGCAGATTCAGTCTCGCCATACTCGAAAGCTGCGCTCAGGACAGAGGGCCTCCGGACACGATATACTTTGCATCGTTTCCCAGAGGGCACTTCCGGTTCAACCTTGCCTACCACAAGCCTAATGGCCGAGCCCACTACCTAATGAGCAAGTTCGGGGAACAGATCACATTCCTCGCGAACCATCGTATCCATGTTCCCGAGGCGGGAAGACTCGTGGACCTCAAAGGTGTTGATTACCAACGTATGAAATCCTGGCTCGCACTCTGCGAGAAATTTCACGATGTCTGCCCGTCCACAGCAACTGGGGAGAGCCCGCGTCGCCAGAATCTTCTCCCTCATCTCCGCGTTGTCGACGTCCAGGATATGTGTCTAACGGACATTCCATGGGCGGAGAAGTATGTCGCCCTAAGCTATGTGTGGGGAGGGGCAAGTCCTCCTCGCCTTCTAAAAGATGAACTGGACATGTGGATGGTTCCCAATTCTATGCAAACTCGGGCACATACGTTTCCCCAGACCATCCGCGACTCTATGGAGGTGGTCAAGAGGCTCGGCTTGCGGTATTTCTGGTTCGACTCACTGTGCCTATTGCAGGATGACCTCGATGACCTTCGGAAAAACATCAGCAACATGGATATGATCTATGAGAGGGCATATGTGACTATTGTGGCTGCTAATAGTCCCAGTGCGGATGGGGGTTGCCGGGTGTTGGAAGGCCGCGCGCCCCGAACCAGATGGTACAGTGTATAAAGCCCGATATCAGTCTGATCAGCGTGGCGCCCCTGGACGCCCACCTGAAAACAGCGGTATGGTCGACGCGCGGTTGGACGTATGAGTATTCTTTTGATTTCCCCCCAGTACAAGCCCCCAGTACAAGTAATCTCCTGTCTAGATTTCTGCTAACAATCGTCGACGCAGGCTCCAAGAACAGCATCTCTCGCGCCGAACAATGAATTTTGTCAATGGTCAAGTCTATTTCCGCTGTCGGGAGCGCATCTGGTCCGAAGAGCTGTGTCGTGATACGGCGCCTCAGACCCGGAATCCCCTTGAATGGGGTACCAACTACATCGCCCTGGCACGACAAGGCATGGATGAGATGGAGTATCTCTTGGAACCATACGACTTCCTCTTCAGCGCCCTGGAGGAGTTCCAAAAGCGCCATATTACCCTAGATGGTGACGCGCTCAATGCCATGTCTGGTTTCCTCCAGCGTGTAGCCGACGCCGGCAAGACGGGCATGATCGAAGGCCTTCCCGTCAAGCTCCTCCCCGTAGCCATGATTTTTTGGAACCGTGCAGACAATCCAGCGCTGTCTTCGGACGTGCGACGTAGGTCGGAGTTTCCGAGCTGGTCGTGGGCAGGCTGGCGGGCACCATCGTTTTGGGACTTTTGGAAAGAGATAGAGATCACAGAAGGTGAGGATGAGATCCTCGACTGGCTCTCCGGAGCCAACTGGATCTCCTGGTCCGTGTCTAGGCCTGGTAGTGAGCCTGAGGTGATTCATGATCCGTCCACAATTAGACACCAGTTTGACATGAACGACGAAGGGAATGCGAACACAGAAGGCAAACTCAAAACCATGGGAGCACGTGAAGAGATTCACCAAAGACCTCGCGCATTCGATCATATCCCGTGGGCTGCACGAGACCCCGTGGCAGTACCGTCGAATATACCATACACCCTCTTGACTTTTCAGACGGTCGTTATCCGCATGGCCATTGCCGCCCCTGCGCCAGATTCAGGTTCTTACTGCCAGTTATCCATCCTGGACAGCACCGGGTCGATATGTGGAGAAGTCGTTCCGGACTTCCTCCCCAAGTTTGAGGCTACAAGGAGCCATGCTGGAGCTGACACTACATCTGACGCAGACATAGATGAAGAGTTACATGCCGGGGAAAGAACGCATTCGCCCTTTCCGAAGGATTCCCTGTTTGAGTTCCTCGTCCTCGCCGAACGCCACCACAAACCAAACCTCAACGCCGCCGCTCCCGGAGACGACGACTACGACGACGCCTTTGTGAATCTGGTGGAAAAGGTCTTCTACTGGGTCTTCATGGTCGAGTACCTGCGTGAGAAGGCGGTCTATGAGCGACGAGGCATCGGTCATGTGCTGAAGGCTTCGGTGCTGGACGGGAGGACGTTTGCGCCCGGCCCTGAATGGAGGGAGATTGTGCTGGGTTGAATGAACGAGATGGAAAGAGTCCAGGTTGGTTGGCCTGGAGACAAAGTTGGGAATGAGATTGAGTTTTCGTGGAATGGAGGCCATTGTTCTGTTCTGTGCTGTGCCATGCTGTATGGTGGGAGGACGGCATGATGGATGGATGGGATATATCTACTCTCTTGGGCTGCGAAGGACTCGAGCAGTGGCCGCGGGTGCACGCATTATAAGTCAGGAGCACCTCGTGTTTGACATGAACGACCTTGACGATGTTGATGAGGTCAACGAAGGAAATGAGCACGATCCACTATGGTGTCAAATGATCAAAAAACGACAATTGACAATCAACGAACGATATATGATATATGGTATAAGGCATATGATGAATGATGAATGATGAGTGATACAGTGCTACTATCCTCATTGCCTCGTCTCATGCATTCTCCATTCGTGTATGTTCCTAGTCAACGAGAGGATCCACATAGGTTTTATGATTAAATACAAAGTAAGCAGGTAATTGGTCCTGTTTTCCCCTTTTTCGAGTTTTGGGCAAGCAAGAAAGGAAGGGAAAGGAAAGGAAAGTCCTATACCATGACGACCGTCGCCATCGCCATCATATCCGTCGCTCATCACCACAAACGCCGTGCCGTACCGTACCGTACCTTGCCATATCACGCCATACCACGCCGAGCTGAGCCATATTTATGTACTTATACAGTAGATGGATGATAAGAATTCCAAAGCCCGTTTGTTCCTCCCATGCTTTGTTCTTTGTTCCGATCAAATCCATGTTTCAATCGCAATATCCAATCCTAATCCCAAGAGGAGCCCCAACTCCATGGCCAAATCCAACCGAAACCCAACTCGAAAAGACTAACCAAGCCTAACAAACAAGGACCAAGAAAACCCCCCCTCCCAAAAAAAAAAGAAGAAGAGGATAATGATGGCGGGGGGAGGAAAGATTAGCCAGTAAACCTACTCCGCGCCCGCAGCCTCGCGCCGTAAAAGTACAGACCGTACATGCCAAAGATGCCCACGACGGACAGGCCCGCGACGAGGGAGACGCCCCGATCGATGCCGAGGCGCGAGTACATCTGGCGCGAGAACTGGACGAAGGCGGCGGCCAGCAGCGAGCGGGCGCAGTCGTTTGCGGCGAACAGGCTGGCGACGTGGCGCGGGTAGGACAGCGGGACGTAGCAGATCAGGGCCTGGAAGATGAAGAAGGTCGAGAAGGCGAAGATGGCGATGCCCAGCGTCGGCACGATCCAGTGGATGTCCGCGCGGGCGGTCCACGCGAAGAGTAACAAGCCGATGGGGGGGCCCCAGACGCCAAAGAGGCCCGGCAGGAGCCACTGCTCTTGTGCGACGGGGCGGCCTGTTTCGCGGTGCTGCGCCCGCGCCCGCGGGATGAAGTGGTACGTGATGTACACGTAGTACAAGGCGAGGCCGCAGATGCAGCCGACGGTCAGGGAGGTGAAGACCAGACCCATCCCGCCCAGCGACATGCCGTACGTGCCGAGGTAGATGAGCGGAAAGGCCTCGAAGAACGAGTAGTAGGTCGCGTAGACGATGGAGCCGTAGACGCAGGCGTACAGGATGGCGGGGTCCTTGGCCGTGATTTCCAGCGGCTTGTTGAGTGCCTCGTGCAGCATCTTGGTGAAAGCCAGCGGGGTGAGTTCGCACGGCGCTCTGTGGCTGTTGTTGCCGGTGGCTTTGCGGAGGCGTTGGGCCCGCCGGAGCAGGATGGTTTGAGGGGATGTCTCGGGCAGGAAGGGGAGGAAGACCAGCACCACGCCGCCCATCATCACCACCTCGTACAGCGGCCAGCGCCAGTTCTCTGTCACGGCGTAGCCCGCCAGTAAAGGCCCGAACGCCGGCCCGCAGTACATGCTCGCCACCCACCAGATGTAGCCGTACGGCGCACTGTACATGTCGTAGACGTCGTCGATCGAGGCCGCCCCGCTGGCGAGGCACGGACTGCCGAACCAGCCCTGGAGGAAACGCAGGATGATCAAGCCCGGGAAATTGTCCACAAAGACGAGACCGATGGAGACCAGGAAGAAGGCGATGAACGAGTACAGGTACGGCGGGTTCCGGCCGATACTGGCGACTTCACTCAGTGGGGAGAAGAACATGGGACCCGTCCCGTCTGTTTTGGAGGATATCAGTATTTGAATCACTTCAAAGAGGGAGTGGGTCAACAACGTACAGCCAACGACATACATGGACAGACCAAGGCTGGCGACAACCACCGAGACATTGTACCTCTCAACAATGTAGCCCGCGGTGGGGGTGATGATCGAGGCAGTGCAGTAGACGACAAAGGTGTAGACGTTGATCAGGGTGACAGTCCACGTCTTCTTCGCCGCCGACCAATTCCGCGGGTTGTCCGTGCCGTCGTCGGGAAAGGACACCACGATCGGCTCCGTCAGGGCTTTCTGGGACATGGCGCTCGAGACTTCGTCCGGGGGAGTGGCCAGTCTGAGTGAGGAGGCGCTCGGGAGGCTCTTTTCGAGGTCCTTTTCCACGTCATTTTCGCTGGCGTCATCGTGGTCGTGATCCTCTTCGTCCACAGGAGGGAGGACTTCCTGAGAGACGAATGGCAGGCTGGGTAGTTCAAACCCAGTGACTTCCTCGGGATAGAACAGCCACGACTTGAACCCGATCAGACGCAGGAACTGGCCCGCCGGGGTGTCTCTGAGGGACGACATGTCGAGTGATGGGGCTGTCGAGCGAGAGAAGGAGGGGGAGAGTGTCTGATGATAGATGTTGATGTCCTTTCATTGTTTCGCGTCCGTCCAATCTATTATTAAGACGGCCATCACATCACCATGGTGCGTGCGGTGGACCAGGGCCTGACATGCACGGCTCGATGGGTTGTCGCAGACCCCTCCCTGCCTCCTCTCCTAAAGACGGACGAGTTGCCAGACAACGTGGACAGACCCAGTCATGCATGAGCAGCTCCATCTCCATCCCAACCCACCCAAAACCCCCCCCTGCAAGGCTGGCTGGTTTTTTTTTTTTTTGGCGTCGGGGATTTCTTCTCTCTGATGGAAATTCGCTAGATTCCGCGGTACGTGTAGATTGAGATGGACGCGGGTGTCAAAAAAACCCAGTGAGATGGCGCAAGGCTCGTTCGGCTATTGGGTCGAGGCGAGAGAAACGTGCCTCGAACATTGTCGAACCAGGGGACGGAGATTATCAGAGAGTGCCACACACCACCCTCGACGACCGGGGAGGCGGATTTCGCCATGCGGCTGATATGGAGCCTTTTTTTCTCGATTATCGAGCGTCTGTTATTGGTCCGATGCGATATCGCGAGGTCCCGTCATTGCGTATGTACGAGGTACCGAGTACTCAGACGAGTACATACGGAGTGTTTGGGAGTGTTTGCCATACTGTATATAGCAGGAGGTGGCGGGTGTCAAACGGACGCCAGATGTGGCTTGCCGCGGGATGCCGTGGCCCGTGGCAGCCTGCACTGCTTTTCTCGAGAAATCTGGTTTCTATCGAGTTTTATCTAGCTGAAGGCTGATGCACAAGCATTTAAACAGAAGGATGCTGATGAAAATGTCGTATATGACGAGTTACAATGCCTTGCAGAAATAACCTACGCGTACGAGTATGAGTAGGAGGAGGTGCTATTGCCATGTGTACTGAGTACTCGAGTTGGTGACCTACCTGCATTTCCTCTTTGCGGAATGACCGATGACCGAGATACGTGGCTTGGTCGTGGAGGTGCTGGAATGTGCAGAGATGGGGAAATCAAAAACCCCAAGGGCCACAACCTTGGACGTACGTGGATGAGGAGTGGTAAAGTCATGGCAGGTTGTTGGGTTCGGCTAATTTCCACTTGGACGCCATTCATCACATCGGTCAAGCCACACGGGATCTGGCCTGTCGTGCCTGGGTAAAAAGTACGTACATCGCGTGCATGGGCGCGGACTGAGGCCGTTGACACGAAAAAGCCCAGACTCGGTGGTTGAGAGAGCATGGCCTGTATATACTCGGTATGTAGGTGCGAGGTCTTGTATGAGTGCTGCTTGTATGTAGGTAGAAAGAAAGGTGCTGTCGTCTCTACGGGGTGGATGTATTCGGGGTTGCAGGAATCAAAGAACGTGTATCTTCTCACTTCGACACGTTCCCTTTCATCACTCGTACATAGGCACGAGATACTGATTCTTTACGAGGAGACACGGCTATACACAGTTGACGGCCGTCATATCTGAAACAACCTGTCACAACCCATCACAAGCCTTGCCATTCTTGTAGTTGTTTTGATGTCAGAAGATGCAGTTCAGCCCCCGGCTCGCCAAGGTCTTTTTGGGCTGGTGGCGTGTGGCTTCAGGCTTCGGACTGCCCTAGACTATTGGATTTCTAGGTACAGTAGGCACTTGGCTTATTCGCTCGTACAGTACATACCTTACCTCTACAGGGGTGTGCACGGACTGCCTTCTCAAAACAGGCGAGATCGGCTCGCCATGTGCGCCTCTTTTTTGGGATCGGAGATTTATCTGCGGAGTGCGAGGTAAGGAACTGGTACCACTACAAAAGATATGATGGTGGGTTGATTTCCTTTCCCCCTTTCATGGATTTATCATCATCGGAGTGTCTGGGTGTCCACCAGTTCGTTCGGAGATTTACCACGTACGGTACTTGGTCACTCGTGCTCATGGCACACACATGGTCCACGGGAGGATCTTGGTAGTATCTTCCGGGACTGCTTGCTCTCCTTCCCGATCGATCGATCACGCATGTATGTATGTATGTACTCGTACCACTGCTGCCTCGGTCGGGGACATAGGTATATTTAGACACCTGACTCAATGAAGACATCGGACTGTGTCACACATCTATAACCGCCATGACACTGCCCTCGCTTTCCGCCTCTTGGCCAGAAACCCATCAACCACCCCGAGAGCCTCTTCCATATACTCCGGAGCGACAGTAAAATGCACGCGCACGTAGCCGGGGAAATCGCGTTGCCCGTCCGTGCTAAAGCAGAGACTGCCGGGACTGACGAGCACGCCGTCCTCCGCGAGGAGCTGGCGACAGAATTCGACATCGTCATCCACCTGTCCCTGACTGTCTACTGCCGACGGGGAGGAGAACTTGACAAAAGCAATCGCCCCGGCGGTCGGCCGTGTCCAGGAACACATGTCGCTGTTTTTCTTGACGAATGCCTCCAACAAGGCCAGGTTCTTCTGCGCGTAGTCGAGGTGTCGTTGCAAAATCTGGGGTCGGCACCGGGGACTCAGCACCTCGGTGGCGACGACTTCGTCGATCACGCTCGTCGACATGACGGTGTACTGGCGCGTGTTGAGGACGAGATCGAGAATGTCGCGGTCGCGAGACACGATCCAGCCGATCCGCACCCCGGACATGCCCCATACTTTACTCATGGAGCTGGTCACCACGACTCGGCTGTATTCGTTGTGCTCGACCAACGACGGGACAGACGCACCGGATGATTTGTGGAACAGCGGTCGGAAGATCTCGTCTGCAAAAACGACGAGGTTGTGGTCGCGTGCGACATCCAGAATCTGCCGTTGAAGTGTCCCGTCGAGGTGCACCCCTGTTGGGTTATTGGGGTTGTTCAGGATGATCATCTTCGTGGCCGGCCTGATCAGCCCGCGCAGCTCGTCGATACTCGGCTGCCATCCCCGGGCAGGGTCGAGCTTCCAGTACGAGATATCACACCGAAAGCTTCCCGGCAGCCCCAACAGTTGCGGATACGTCGGATACTGGCAGACGACGTGGTCACCCGCGCGCAGCAGGCTTTGGAACACGGTCAAATTGGCCCCCGTGGTGCCCGTGGCGGTGACGACGTTCGCGGCCGAGATGCCCTCGTTGTACATACTCGCAATCTGCGTGCGGAGCTCCTTCGCCCCCTGCCCTGACCCGTTGTTCATCTTGATGGATCGGAAATGCAGCGCCCGCTCCGTCGCGGCGGGGTCGGTCGACAGGGAGAGCAGGTCGTCGAGCGAGATGCTCGGCGCGGCACTCCCGCCCAGCACATACTTTGCTTTGTCTTTGTTGCCTTCGATCCACTATATTCGTCGCCAACCCTCGCCCTCGTTCGCGTCAGCTGAGTAACGTGTCCGGGTTAGATGTCAGGGGAGAGTATGACTCACGTTTGCGAGGTGGAAGGGAGCGAGTTGCGCCATCGTAGTATGAGGTGTCTCTGAGTGTCACGCTGAACAGACTAAGGGGATCAGAAACCCCGTTCTTACATATGTAGATGTGCGAGATAAATACCCAAGGTGTTATCAATGATTCGCGTCGTCTCTTCCTGCTCTCTGACTCATGCACACGTATACGCAGCACGCCCTTCTCTGACATCAAAATCTTGGCATGGCTTGGGGATGGAAAGTAAAAAGTACAAGCACCAAGATAAGGCGTCCACAGGCCTTGAACCGGCTGATAATCAGTCATTCTGGGGTTTCGTCGAACCCCACAAACCCCATCACCAGTAGATTAATCTGTGTCATGGGCTTGATAGTCGGTTGATGTCATTGAACCAGTCCTGAAGTCCTCCCAGGTATCCCTCGCCTCACGATGTGTATACAACTAATTAACCCATGATATTTCAACCCAATTTCCGTCCCAAGCTCAGTCGTCCATAGTCACGTCACATGTGATAGTCATTCCTCTAAATCATCCGTATCTGCACCATCTCACAAAAGCACGTTCAGAAGTAGAACCTTAAACACCCGTCGGTACGACCAGAAACTCCTGGCAAGGTGCCTCCCAAAGTGAAGCCATCCCATCAACACCCACTTATTCTTCCCTTCAGCGTCAAAGAGTTTGGGGTTCAAGTCGCCGAACCAGGTGTCAAACTCTTCTTGGATGTTCATCCCATCGTCGGCTGATTCTGAAGAGGTACCACTCAATAGCAAAGGAGAACTGGAGGCCTCGCTCGAGTTTGTGTCGCTGGCTCCAAACGGCCAGTTGATACTTCCGGTCTCGCTGAAGGATGGAAAAACAGGCTGAACATCTTGACCGGGTGAACTGAAGGCAGGCTCCCAGTGGCCACCAACACTGCTTGATGACTCTCCTTTATCCCAGTAGACTTGCAAATGCTGATATGCGACGCTACTCGGTGGAAGTCCTTTGTCGCTATTCGACGCACTGTCGCGAATTCCTTCGAGGAAATCGCGGTAAGTCTCAAGGTCATGCATGCATTCGGCCCAGCTTTCTCCCAGCTCTGGGAATTTGGAGTCAAGCCGCCTGAGCATGTCAAAGGACAAATAGATATAGGAAATCATGTGCTCCAAGTGCTTAGGGATGCGTTGTCGTAAGATCTCCAAGATGGCCTTGTTGCTGCTTCGCCAAAGCCGCCCTGGTAGGTCATACTCAATTGCCAATCTTTTCAGAGCGGGGGATGCTAGAGGGTGGTGGGTTGCTAGGAGAAAGTCGTGATGTTCATGAAGCAGCGAGCGGTGCAGAGCCAGCAGTGCTTGCCACTGCATGTCGCTCAATGGTTTGGTGGGAGATGCTGATCTGGCTTCGCAAATCTCAATACACTTCTTTTCGACCATGACAAGGCCAGCATATATTCCTACCACTTCGATTAGTTTATGTTCCGCCATCTTTGTGTACCACTGGAGGATCTACCTCTGACTTCGTTGACGAGTTGCTCCTGTGAGATCGGAGTAGTTGTGGGCGGATGTAATGGTGGTCTGATTTCCTCCATTTCCAAGTATGCGAGTGGCTCGTATTTTTTGTTTTTTGCCCGGATCTCCGATTGCAGTCGTTCTATTTGTTGTAAGATGGGGTCACCGCCACAGTCGAAAGCAGAGGAACGGCTGCGTTTGTTCTCCAACGAGCATTTCAACTGCTTGTCCTCGGAGTGGCTGTCCCATGTGGGTGGATCCTTCCTCTTGCCCTGGAGGACTGGCACTTCTTCGAGATTCCGACTAATATCCCAGACAGAGGTGCCCGGGAATGGGGTTCCAAAAGTCCATGGCCTTCCAGCCCGTTTTCCCTTTGGACGTGACATTGCCGATTCTCGCAGAACTTGTTGTTTTCTGGAAGTAGACGGCTTTTGGAGGCCAGGAAGCCGTACGAGGCCCTCATTACTGCTGCTGGAGGCAACATCCATGGTTGGGATGCGCGTCTTGGAAATATCTATGCGGAACGCTGAGCCGCAAACAGTTGGAAGTCACAGGTGGGGGAGTGGGGGCCAAGTCACTAAGCTAGGAATTTATCCCGAGGGTAGGTGCCACAAATGATCAGGTTACCGGATATTCTAGGAAAGATAAAGTAGAGCTAGAATGTAGAGCTGGGGGAGGAGGGAAGTGCCTGTCTTTTGTACAGGAGGGTAGCAGAGTACGAGGTAGGTGCCGGGAAATCTGCTAAGCTGCCTTCGGCTTTGGGTGGCCCTACTGTTTCAGGTATGGTCACGGGCTGGGCGCGCCGCCGCTTTTAACAGTCTTTCGACGTGACCACGTAAACTTCGAGCTAAACCTAACTGGGCGAGTGCAATATTTGGCCCAGTCCTACTTCAGACATCGTTTGTCGTGATGGGTAACTAGTCCTTGGCCGAAGCTTAATTTGCCATCTTCCCTGCTAAAAGCAAGAATACTGAAGAGGAAGCACAGATTCGATACTTGCAGAGAAATACGAGGATACCAGTGCCAAAGATATACGCATACTCGGATGACTTGAACTCTTGGAACGACGACACTGGCGAAATGAGGCCCTTTGAATGGATTCTGATGGAATTCATGGCGGGGCATAATCTGGGGAAGAGATGGAGAAAGCTATCCATGGAAGCAAAAGTTGTCAGACGCGTCGCACAGTTCCAAGTTCAACTTTTGACGGTCCAATCACCCCTTGCTGGAATAGGTAGCATCTACGACCGAGACGCCGATTATCAAGAAATGACCAATTCATTTGAGGTATCGACCCACCTCGGGCGCGTCACCAAACATGTGTTCAGATTGAAGAAATCCCATTACAATCACAGAAATGGTGAGCAAGATGGTAACATTGTACCCGTACATGTCCATCAGTCAACGGACTCGCGGTGGCATTTGGTTAAGACAGACTCTAGGTAGGAGGTTATTGGCGAGGCATCTGTGAGTCCAGTTGAGAGCGAGGAAACTGCAACAATCACCCCATACACGAAGTTTGAGTTGGGGAGGATTGTTTTGCCGAAGGACCTTTGGGCAGACCACTACTGGAAGCAAATTCCCCGTGGGCCCTACCGAAATTCTCAAGAATGGCTCCGGGTGAGATTGTCACTTATTCAATCTGACCAAGAGCGCATTATGTAAGAATCTGATGAAGAAGAAGAAGAAGAAGAAGAAGAAGAAGAAGAAGAAGAAGAAGAAGTCGAAGAGGCCAAAGAGATCAGAACGATATGCAATCGTCTGGCCGCTCTCCTGCCGTCTGTCTTCTTGCATGAAATTTGCGGTCCCGTGCGAACAGCATTGAAGCACATCGATCTCTCAACGGAAACATGCTTATTGATGACGAAAGCGAGATAACTGCCATCATCGACTGGGAATGCACCCAGCAGTGCCTCCCTGACTGAGCTTGCGCCTTCCAAGCTTCCTGGTCGACACAGACAGGCTTTCCCGGCCGGTGCGGGAGATGTATGCCGATGAAAGTGAGGAGGCTGCCAAGGAGGCGGCGGAAGAAGGTGTTGAGAATGAGGGGAAGCACCGCTGTATTGGATTCATCTCTTGGAGTACGAATTGACACAACTCCGGCCAGCGTATCTCAATGAAATGAAGGCCCCATATCCATCCTGGAGCAGCATACAGGGGATGGTGGCACCGGCAGATTTTGGATCCGATGTTTCTCGATTCTCTTCTGGTTTCGGGCTTGGGATTATCGAGTCTTGGTTGGACAACTGGGAAAAAGGTGGCGAGTATTGGAGCTCGATGGAGGAAATTATAGGCTTGACCATGTACAACGCGTACTGATAATTTCTTTCAAAATTTTGAAGAGCCTGGGTGTGGAGTTCTAAAGACTACGGCCTTCCACTAGAAGACCAGTTCGTGTGCATGTAGGGACCTTCAAGTTGGGGACGTTGTATAAACTCGTCCTAAACTGTACGTTGCGCTGACTGAAGATCTGACAAATGGTACATGGATCTTCCCAAGTGACAGATGGAATTCCACACGTTACATGAGCGCACATCCCTGCGCCTGTCTGATTCTTGCCTTGATTTGTTTCAGCTGCTTCTTCGTCTTCTTATTCTCGTCCCTAAGATGCTCATTTTGGTCCTTTTCCGCCTGCAACTTGGCCTCCATCTCATCTTGTCGTCGGGCCTCGTCTTCCAGCTCCTTGGATCGCTCCAGCTGGAGTTGATCCCGATTCACTCTCAACAGCTCATAATCCTTTTCTAGCTTCTTGATTTTTTTTCTTCCGTTTCTCCACGTCCTCCTCGAGGCTTCTGACCTCTGTTTCCCTGTCTTTGTGGTTCAATCTAATATCCCGCCTGACCTCTGCAATTTCCCTCCGAAGGTCATTGATGTCGCTTTCATATAATTCTTTTCTGTCTTCTAACTTCTCCTCTAATACTATGCCCGCCGCGGTCTTATCAAGCGTTATGCCGTCCGCCATCTCTTTCTGGATTGTCAAGTCGATGCCGTCCAGGGGCGGATTATCCAAAAGGTGGCGCACGATTTTCAACGCCGACAGCCGTTCTTCGTCGTGGATGAAGGGGGTTGCCCCACGATGGATCATGGGCTTCCAGAATTCCTCGTCCTCACGGAGCTCCTCGTAGCGAGCGTGCTGCCTTTCTCTGTCTGCCGCTCCACTTCCCCAGTGTGTTGTCGCAAGAGCAACAGAAGACATAGAGTCCTCACCGCACAGTTTTTTGAACAAGCGGAGGTTGTTCCTAGCCGTTCCTGTTACACGCGTGTTGTTGATCGCGTGTAAGTATACTATGCCTGTTAGCTTAATCTCACTCTCGTGTGCCTTGTTGAGCCAGTTTGCTATCTCGCGCAGGATGGCAGAGTCGGACCGAATGGTGTCGTCAAATCCAGGAGTGTCGATGAAGATAACTCGACGGCCGTCAATTTCGTCAGGTGCCTGGTGCGCCTCTACCACGGCAGTCACTGCACGCCCATTTTTGTGCTGTTAGTACTTCTCGAATGACGGCTTTGCGCACAGCTGCTGGGAAAACTTGCCCGATTTTAATCCATCTCCCACTATAGCTGTATCGCAGAAGTGTTGAATGAACGTGCTTTTCCCTTGAACCAGTCATTCCCATGACGGCAATGAAAGCATCAGTGGGCTGGACATCTCGTAGTCTTTAGAGCGGTGAGTAATTTGATCCCCATCGAGATGCGCATATCTCGTCCAAACATACTCGAAGAGGGAAGATGCAGAGTCACGCATCTCCATAGCAGGCTCACACGACTCGTATGGCGGTGGACTGTCTTTGTGATCCGTGTCCTCTGCCAGGTAGAATGGGTAAAAAGGACTCATGGATTTCCAGACGCAATGACTGCTGGTGGGATTGATGTGACGACTCTCATTAATTCGAGAGGAGCAGCCTTCAGCCTTAATATCTCTGGGTGTATCCAGAGTCGTCGACCTCTCATTTTTCCCCTCCGCAGCCTACGTGGTTTTCAGCCGCATTCCCGAATATTGTCCAATGAAACCAAAGCAAGTCTTGCAGCACACCATTCCCTTGTACATATCCGACGATGCTTGTCTCGCCAATTAAAAGGGACTCAAAAAGCTGTGGGAGGGTGGAATGTGTCCCGCATTCGCGCCTGGTGATTGTTCGTGAACGGCCATTCATGACACGTAATCACTGCACAGCCCACCGACCTGCAGCCTCCCCAAAAAGAACCCATCTTCGCATGTTGTGTAACGTTGTCTGCCTTCCGTCAAATTAATGACGCCATGCCTTGTGACGTGGCTGTCGTTGACATTCGTCGTGCTATCTCCAGGGGGGTTGGATGATTGATGGCCTCGGGTGAAAAATAGTCCTTGAAGCGCCCGAGTGGTCATGCTGAAATGGTCAGCTCACCTGCTCCCCTTACAGGCCTGACCATGTTGAAGTGGCAAGCGACGCCAGTTCTTCGTCCGGGAGAATGCCTTGTCAGCCGGGCGCTTGACTCGAGTAGATACCAGCAGACACCGCGAGCATCAAAATATACAGTTTCACCGATCAGCGCGGCAAGACAGTATACCTGCTTGATACGCCCGGGTTTGATGACACGACCCGCTCCGATGCAGAGGTTTTGAAGGACATCTCTTATCTCTTAGCCGTCATGTTCGCCGCTGATATTCGGCTGGCCGGACTCATTTATCTGCATCGGATATCTGATGCCAGGATGCCCGGCTCTGCAGTGAAGAACCTACGCATGTTCCAGGCTTTGTGCGGTGAGTCAAATTTCAGGCATGTAGTCCTCGCAACAACAATGTGGGCGGAAACAGGGAGTAGCGATGCACGAAGCGTTCAAAATCAACGGCTGCGGGAGCTACAAGATACTTACTGGGACGACATGATTCAGTCCGGAAGCAAGGTCATGAAACATGACGGCCACGAGTCATCGGCTCTAGAAATCGTCCGCACCCTGACGGCTCGTGCCGAGTCGCCCGTCACCCTTGCCATCCAGCGCCAATTGGTTGTGGAGGGTCAAACCCTGGATGAGACCGATGCTGGCAAAATTGTTTTCGAAGAAGTCATCGCGGCGAAGCGCAAGTTTAAGGTCGAACTTGACGAGCTGCAAGAGAGCTTGGAGGAGGCAGAGCAAGATGATGATCAAGAAAGTATCGAGAACCTCCGGACCGAACGTGCGGCGATCGAGTCCAAGGCCCGACGGCGCGCGAGAGACGGTGATAGTCTCGGAGTCAACATCCGGCAACTAGCCCGGGAGCAGCATCCACTGTATGACAACCTGATCTCCGCCCTCCAGCAAGAAGATCATGACAGTGTTCAGACGGCTGGTTTTACGTACGACCCCGACCCTAGAGTGCAGGGTCTGGAGCGGATGCTTAAGGAGGAGAAGCAGAGGCGCGAGGAGAAGGAAAAAGAAAACATGGTGCTCAAAGAACAGCTCCAACAGCGTCATCGCGAGCTCGCGGCGGAGACCAGCCGGAAAGGATCATCCAAGGCACTGCGTTTCGGCGTCGAACGGAGAAACAAGACCGAAGAGAAGTCAGGCTTGATGACCACCATCATGCAGTTCTTGAATGTGACCAGGGCGTACCTGTCATCCGAAGATGAGAGGTTCTACGTGGCGCAAAGCAATCGCTCGTCGTCGTCAAAGTCCTGGGCCAAATTGAGCATGGGCGATCAACCCAGGGACCCGGTCAATTACCAACGTCGACACGACCGACCAAACCTGAACGAAAGAACCACGGGAGGCGCGAGACCGCAAGGGAATCCATGAAACGATTTTATTTATTATTATTTTATTTTCGGTAGCTTGAGGTCAGTTGCATTACAATTCCTACGATATATATCTGTTTTCTCTTGCCCATTCCGACTGCATATGGTGGTCCCCAAGTAGCTTACCGCGCACCAGCTAGAATCACTCTAGTATTGTCTAGAAGCCTTTGAAAGAGCAGTGGTTAAGTATAAGTAACAACGACGCTGTCCAGCGGCCACAGCGCAGGAGCCAAGTTTTGATCACGTGGCTAAGTGAACTTGCCGCTATAATCCTGGAGATCCCAGCATTTGGCACTAAACCAGAACGAGAAGATTTCTCAAAACAGGCAAGCGTGATGGTTTCAAATCCACCAATAAGGAAGTCCGGCTCGAATGCCTCCCCTTTGAAGGCACCTGGTAAGGAAAAGGAACGGGGCGTTTCACATCCCGAACGTTTCTTCTGATTCCCAATCGTAGACATACTCATCCTCCTACAGCAGCATCTCAGCTGTCCGCTCGTGCAGATATCGGGTCGCGCACTTCTTGTACCACGGTAGCTACGCAGTCGACTGAGCCTTTATTCTTCCCAGATTGACGTGCTATTGTATACTAGTCAATATGCCGAAGAGGCTAGGACCACGCGACAGAAGTCCGGTGAATCATAAGTTCGCCAGTTCATGCGAACGATGGCTGAATCTTTCCACAGTCCCTGTGTCTCAGTCGCTCAGGCAGATTCGTCTCATACCTATACATTAACGATCAGTGAGTATCAGAACTGATACCGACAGTAGAGCAAGGATTTGCCTCACATGTGCTTGGTCCATTCACAAGCCAGAGACCTTGTCATTGCCGGATCGATAATCTCCTCTATGCCGAAGTTGTTCGCCGTGCGAACCGGATTCATGAGGTTGAGGTACTCGGCCTCGAGCCGGTTGTAGACCTGTTTGTAGTTGTCCCCGGCTCTGCGAAGTTCGGCTCGGTGGTTGACTAGTACTTATCAGTCCACTGTGTCGTTATAGGTAGAATAATACCACATACCTTCAATCCCGCCGTCAAGCGGGAGTGATCCCCAGTTTACAGATGGCCTCATGTTCGTTAGTTTGGTCCTTGCGTGATGCTATCAAGGTCTTACCATGCAACGCGGCAGTTGGGATTGCGGTTATCAACGAGAATCGCTCCTCCGATACCATAGCATCGCCGAGTGATGATGGTATAGATGGGAATCGTTGTGGCGAAGTAGGCCTAGCTACTGATGAGTATACACTCGTTGGAGAAAGACGACTGTCAAATAGTTCACCTTGCACAGCTCCATGGCCCATTTCATGCAAGCGCTCCTCTCTGCCGCGGTTCCAATTGCAAACCTAGCATTTTTGTCAGAACGAAATATCTGTGCTGGGATAGACAGGTCTTGGGAGAAAGGATCTCACCCTGGGATGTCCAAGAGTTGGATCAAGGGAAGTCCCATCACATCACAGAGTTTGATGTGCTTCATGAGCTTCTGACAGCCAGGTGTATCCATGGCTCCGGCATTGAATTGAGGGTCACTGAGCCTTCTTGTTAGCTTGTGTCGAAATCATACATGAACTGCTCCTCTTCTACGGAACGGAGGAGTTGTCAGTGAAGAACAAATCGGTTACATACTCTGCGAAAATGCCCACAGGTCTGCCACCCAAGCGGGCTAAGCCGACCACAACGGTTCGGCCCCATAGTCGTCCGATCTCAAAAAATGATTCCCGATCAACGAGATGGTTGATGATCGACCTGACGTCGTACGAACGTTGTCGCCTTCTAGGGATGGCCTCCCTCAGTTCCGTGCACAGTCTGTTGGGATCGTCCGTTGGAGGCACGACAGGCGGTAGTACGCCACCGTGATTTGGAACGTATTGCAAGAACTGTGCTATTTGATCATAACATCCACGCTCGTCTGCGGCCAAGTTGTCGATGACTCCGTTGCAGCAGTGAATCTCCGCCCCGCCGAGTTCCTTCGGACTGAGACGATATCAGACGAGGATAGGAATGGTGGCGGTCAATAAGACAAACCTCAGGTCTTCTTCGAATGTGGCTCCTTCGACCACCTTGGGTCCGGCGTTGAAGAGCGAGCCGATATCATTTGCCATGACGGAGAAGTGGCATCCAGCTGCCCGTGCGGCACCCAGACCAACAGCTGGACCGACCACCGCGGCGCAATTCGGGATGCCCAAGTCTAACTGCCTCATCTAAATCTCTGTGAGCGAGGGGCGAAGGGTTGAGATCCAATGAACTTACAACCCATGGCAACAACTCCAATTCAGGAATATAGGTCGCTTGCTGGACACGGTATGTTGTTATCGACCCCCCGCCTGTCACAGGTCAGCGCATAAGGACGCCCCAAACACAGAAGTGGCCTACTCACCTGAAGATCCATCAACCAATTTGATCATCGGAAGTTTCATATGTACCGCGAGCTTCTCCATGTAGAGCGTCTTGGCCAGGAGAGCACCATCCGCATGTCCGGCACGGAGAGTGAAGTCGTCTGCTGTCAACAGTACTCGTCGACCCCGGATGTGCCCAAAGCCTACATAACTGTCAGTTGAAGGGACATGAATGGTCTGTTGTCATACCTTGGACATTGTTGCTGGGGGTAAAGTCCGCAATGACCTCCTTCTGCGCCTCGACGATATTATCCGATGAAGGATTCGCCTTGACCCAGGTTGCTGTGCCGGCAGCACTCCCGACTTCTCGAAAGCTCCCCGGGTCGAGAAGCATTTCAACCCGCTCCCTCACCCATAGCTTTCCTGCCTCTTTGTGACGGATGTAACCAGTGGTGTTGGACTTTGGGGTTTGCGCGAATTTCCGAACTTGGTCCAACTCCGCCAGTACATCAGACCAATCTGCTGGGCCTTCAGATGCTTTGGACTTCTTTTGACGCCGAGTATTGGCCTTTCCTGAGATTTGCTGCTGGATCTGGTCGAGTCGCGCGGTCGCGTTTGGCTTGCCCTTGGCAGCATCGTCGTTGGTCATGATGGGCTTCCCTGCACTCCTGTATTGCAAAATGTTATCTTATGTCTGGCATATGCGGCGCGCGTCTTGTTGTTCAGAATGACCCCCGGATCCCTATTTGTGCTTTAAGCATGAAACAATATTGTTGGACCAAGTCGATGTGAAAGATTGACTGGAGTGGTCGAGAATGGGATGCCCAACGACGAGGCTGTTGCAGCCTCGTCCCAATCAAGATGCCTCGGTAATAGTGCTTGGAAGAGCCTGTAGAGCAGCTCCAAGGCTACTGCAGGGAGGCACAACCCCTCATCCCCAGGGTTTAATGCCCCTTACGACAGCATCGCACCGACTTGCCGAGGACCATCGACACCCGAACTCGAATGGGAAAGCCGACATATTGGCCCTCTTACCAACGTTGAGACACAAGGAAAAAGATGTACTCGACGCTCCAGGTTACATCGGAGCATAATATTTTGTGACCCATTTGCTTGGGTATAAGATACCCACGGCATCACCGGTGCGATGCTCCGACGGCTGTCAAGGCTCCATTACAGCCCCCGACCGGATCTCTCTTCAAAAGCCGACTCTGAGAGGACCAATTGACCACCTCTGAGCCAGGCATGAGGTAATTTGAAGGGACTACTTAGTGACCGTGGGCCAGTGGTGCCTGTTCTCCTCTTTCAATAGCCGATCCTACCACGACTTGCAAAGATTGTCCCCAGCGGAGAATTGTGGATGACGATATTTTGCATGGGGTTGACACCGCACATTTACCAGAAGCAGCCAATCCTAAAAGTCCGCTACGATGATCACTTGAAGAAGCAGCAGATGCACCAAAGCTTGTGAATGCTTCGATGCAAATCTTCGCTGATCAATAGCCGGTAACCCACCAGGAAAAAGGAGCCATCCTACCATGCTATCCACAAAAACCATTCTTGGATGGGTCTGCAGAAGCAATTCAGTGGGTCGGGCCCTCTATTGATTCTTCCGAGCCTTTCGCCGATCGAAACATGTTCGCTCAACCACGCAATGCGTTCAATATCCTGATCCTTGTTTCGATGGGCGAAGGGCGTCCTGGCCCACTGATGCGACGGAGGTCCGCTCGAGGCTGCTGGTGTGAGAAATATAAAGACTGTGAAGGGATGGATGGCGAAAATCGCACATCACCAGAGTAAAGCTTTCTCATTCTACGATTTCGCTATTGAGGCCTCTCTTGTACTCGCTTCAAGATGGGTATCGACAATTCCCAGGGCCAGACTCATATTGAAGATGAGAAAGATCCACAGCAAACACGCATGCGGCAGCAGTCCGTCGCATCTCGACGTCTGAGTGAAGCCCAGGCCATGAAACTGGCAGAGGACGACACCGCCATCGTTGACGAAGAAATCGCAGAGTTTGAAGCAGCCCTCGAAGCACAACCGGTCAAGAGCACCTTTCTCAATCCGCAAATCTCGTTCAATGACCCCCGACACTTCACCTGGCTCCTTGTCGGCTTTGCTTCAATGGGTGGCATGCTCTCTGGGCTCGACCAGAGCGTTATATCTGGTGCCTTGCTCTATATGCCCGACGATCTCCACCTCAGCACATCTCAAGTCAGTTTGACTAGCTCTGCCGTGCCACTTGGCGCAATTGGTGGTGCCCTGCTCCTCGGTCCCACCAATGAGCTGGTCGGTCGCAAGATGGCCATCATCATCTCCCTGATTCTCTACACCATCGGTGGCGCCCTGGAAGCCGGTGCTATCAACTTTGGCATGATTGTGGGCGCAAGAGTCATCCTCGGCATGGGTCTCGGACTTGAAGGAGGCACCGTTCCAGTCTACGTGGCAGAGTCGGTCGAGAAGAAATACCGCGGCAATCTGGTCAGCCTGTATCAGTTCATGATCGCCTTTGGCGAGGTCATTGGGTACGTGGTCGCGGCCATTTTCGTCAACGTGCCGTCTGGTTCTTGGAGGTATATGCTTGGCTCGTCCCTGGTCTTCAGCACCATTATGCTTGTGGGCGTAAGTATCCCTTATGACACAATGAGCTGTCGGTGAAACAGTTCTCCTGTCCAAGACCTTCCTCCTATATCCTTCCATACTAATGAGAGCACAGATGCTTTTCATGCCCGAGTCCCCGCGAATGCTTCTACACAAGGGCAAGACCCTGGAGGCGTTCGCTGTGTGGAAGCGAATTCGAGGCCTTGCCAGTGCCGAGGACCGCAAAGAATTCTTCATCATGCACCATGCTCTGGATGCGGAAATTCACGAGGGTGACACAAAGCGCCGGAGATTCGTCTGGCTCGACTTCTTCACCAATCCGCGTGCACGAAGAGCCATCGTCTACGCAAACATCATGATTGCGCTTGGCCAGTTGACTGGGATCAATGCAATCGTAAGTTGTCTTGAAGCTTGACTTTATCTGAAATCAAAATTGCTAATAGTTGCCCAACAGATGTACTACATGTCAACACTGATGTCCCAGATCGGATTCGACAAGAAGCAATCCGTCTTCATGTCCCTCGTGGGAGGCGGCTCTCTCCTGCTAGGCACCATCCCAGGCGTGCTGTACATGGAGAAATTCGGCCGTCGCTTCTGGGCAAACACCATGCTCCCTTGCTTCTTCGTCGGTCTCATCTTCGTCGGCGTGTCTTATCAATTGAATTCCGTCACCGCCACAGAAGGCATGTACCTCACGGGGATCATCCTGTACAACGGCTTTTTCGGGTCCTACGCTTGCCTGACCTGGGTTCTGCCCAGTGAGGTGTTCCCCACGTACTTGCGGTCCTACGGCATGGAGTCCACCGACGTCAACCTCTTCTTCGGCAGCTGGCTCGTGACCTACTTCTTCTCGGACATGCAGCGGGCCATGACCAAGACGGGCTTGACTCTCGGCTTTTACGGCGGGATCGCGGTGCTCGGCTGGATCTATCAGCTTTTGTTCATGCCCGAGACGAAGAACAAGACCCTGGAGGAGATCGACCTGATTTTCAGCCAGCCTACCAGTCAGCTTGTGAGGGAGAATCTCAGAAATGTCACGCGGGGGATGAGCGACATTGCGCATTTCCGGTTTGGCAACATCTTGTCCCCTGCAGAGGAGAGCCATGAAATTGAAAGGCACATGGACGAAGTCAAGGCGTAGTTACTTGACGCCCTGTACACGATATAGACAGCACGGTTGACCCAATGCAATACTAGCTTGTCGTCGCGGTTGAGACTCAAAATGACCCTCAGATTCTCCGCATGAGGCATTCTGTCTATATATTTGCCATTCTCTCAGAAGCCTCAATCCGTCACCCCTGCGGCCGCCACTTTCACTGAACTGGCCAAGTCCTTGTCCAGATCTACACGTCCATTCGCGCCACCACCACCCTCGACATCCCCATTCGTCGACGCCTCGCGATAATACTGTGTAAAATCGTGCTTCAGCACATCCACACCGCTGCGGAACACCTTTGCAAACTCCTCGTCGGCCTCCGCGCGCTGACACATTTTCAGAAACTCGTCGTTCTCCAGCGCCTTGTCGGGATCTTGGCCGAACAGGCGTACTATGTTGGCGCTCGAGATGGGGTTCACGACTTCGTTGTACTTTTGGCGCCGGATCTCCGAGTATTTGTCCAGGATGGAGTCGTCGGCGAGACCCGCGTAGATGCCGGCGAGGCAGTCGTACAGGCCGCCGATGTCGACGATGCCGCCGGTCAGGCCCATCCCGCCGAAGGGGTTGCATACTGCTCGTCACGTCAGTGTCTGTGGGTTTCTTCTTCCGGGGGACGCTCGGGGTGTGTATACGTACAGTGCGCAGCGTCCGCGGCCAGACAGAATCGCCCGACGCGCATACTCGGCGCAAGCCGCTGGTGGATGCGGTACGGGCTAAAGTTGACGATCCGGTATTCATCTGGTTTCGGATGCCCGGGCAGCATGGTCTCAAACTTCCACGGCTGTCTCTCGCGGAGCTGGTCGTTGGTGAGACCCGGCTTCTCGCCGTACGTGACGCGGTAGAGGCCATCCTTGCCGATTTTGGCAGCCATGTACCAGTGTTCCGGGTCGATGATGAAGTTTGAGTCGAGCCAGCCGAACTTGTCAAAGTCGTAGTACGTCTTGGTCGCCTTCATTAGCCAGGTGCTCACACGTAGACACTTCCTAGTCCAAGGCACGGAGGGGTGAGGGAACTTACATTGGTAGCGACAATCTGCTCGTCCCACGTCTTGCCCGGGAACTCTTTGTCCCCGAACAAGGACCGTCTTACCTGACTGTTCGCCCCGTCGCACCCGATGATGTACTCGGCCTCGAGGCGCTTCTCGCCTTCGGACGTCTCGCACACGACCCAGGCTCGCTGATCGTCCTGCCCGACCGACACGACTTTATGGCCCCACGACACCGTCGCCGTGGGCTGCCGACCGATGTGGTCCATGAGGATCTTCCCCAGCCGGTTCAGCGGCAGACAGACCATGCGGTCCGGGTCGTCCTCGACCCCTATCTTCATGCCCGCCAGGTACGTGCCGTCGAGTTTCCGCCAGCAGACCCCGTCCGGCATGAACCCCTGGGCGCGCAGATCGTCGACGATCCCCGCCCGCCGCAGCTCGTACATCGCCGGGGACCCGTAGTGCGTTGCGCGCGGTTGTTCGTCGAGTTTGACGGACATGTCGATGAGGTGGACGGGGATGCCTTTCTTTGCGAGCATTAGGCCCAGAAGGAGGCCTGACGGGCCCGCCCCGACGATTAACGCCCATGGTTTGGACGTTGACGACATTTCTTCTCAATCCCGGAAAGGAAACCAGGGTCTTTGTCTTTGACCGTGGTGGCAGTCGACAGATAGGAAAAGAACGATGTATAAGTTTCAAATAGCGGACAATGGCAACCTCAGGATCATTGCTGTATTTTCTTCTCGTGGTTCTCTTGGCTTAAAGCAACTCGGTATAAGTCTCTGTATTCAAGGTGGCGACCTCACTCACGCAGTGTGGGGTAAGATGCTCATGACGCTGAAGGGTGAAGGGGTAAAAGGATAAAAGGGGGGATTGTGGGGTAGAACAGCCTTGGGGAAGGGGGAGACGCAGCCTTGTCGTTGACCCTCTCCCAACTCCATCCTCAGCCTGGGCGTGTCTGGGCATTTGAACACAAAATCGACTCCTCCGAAACTTCCCTCCAGTATATCGCATCCCTCGGGTACCATTCTGGAGGTGATGGCAACAAGCTACGGCGCATAGCTGTAGCAACCGATTCTAGTTGACGTAATGGTTCACAAAAGTTCCCTTTCTCTAAATTGGGTTAGCTTCGTATCAAAGTGCTTCAATTGCTTGGGCATGTTAGCGCCTTACGTTGTTATTTTGACAACAAGGAGGAGCACCAGGTTGCTATTTGCGCCCGAACGGCCGGTGTCAGAATGCGTGGGGGCGAAGGACATGATTGGTATTCATCGTTTGGACGCATCTCGACAAAGTGTTCCAACCAGCAAGGGTGACCTGTGTTCCAACTGCACGAAGCGTTTTCTTTTCATTGAAATGTCCTGATCTGTATCTGGAGTGTACTTCTAACATTCATCTTCAGGTGCTCGAGCACCTTATGCTGCCGTAGAAGACCGATACAACTTCAAGTGAGTCGATCTGGCCACAATCACCCCCGCTCAACTGACACTGGTGTATTGCAAGACTACATTCGGTCATGTCTCTCCCAAAGAAGCAAGTCAAAAAATTCATTGACATTTGTGTTAATAATTGGGACCGTATCCGTCAAAAATTGAGCCCGCAAAATGAAGGACACAGACTCTTTCCATCACGAACGCCAAAGCACGACGAGGACACAGGGGCTCGCGCGGACCAGGGAGCAAAACATTCGCAGAATAACACCGATACCTACAATATCCATGTTCAAGCAAACAATCAAGGGCCTGCCAGTCATGGGAAGTTGTTCACCGTGGAAGTTCAGCCAGGCATGAGCAAGGCGGCGTTCAAGAGCTCGATGGAAAAGGCGGCTCAGGATGCGGGAGTGATGTGAGTAACAATTCCTCAGCAAGCGGCAAGTGTGGAGTCACACAATCCGTGTACCGGTGGTCAGTCAGTCAAATTCCATGAACAAAGTCTTGCCTGAAACTCTTCACGTTCTCTCTGGTTTTCTAGGGACTCCATGACCTCCCTGATCACCTTCCTAAGACTGTTCTTACATCCATTAAATAAGTCAACCGGTACCCATCCCTCCAGAGGAAATGTGGCAGATATGTCGCTAGCTTCAAGAATGTCACGAAATCCATTGAGCCTTCGTGCATCCTCGTAGTGCTTTTCTAGCTCGTCATGATTAAAGTGGATGGGACATGAAGGAGCAGACTCGATTTGGTCATTTCCAGTAAGCCTTGACCAATTCTGCTGAACTCGAAGTAATGTGTTTCTGAGCATAAGTGCGTCGGCATCGTGACCATCGGAAGTTCGCGCATAATTTCCGATCTGTCTTCGTATCGGGTTAATCTGCTTATCGTCGTAAACGGCTGCGACAGGAGGTATGTTTTCCCTAAAATGCGATAGATAGTAGCCCTGTAGCATTGTCTTATTGAACCTTTCCCAAGTCTCGGATCTCACAGAAAGAGGCATTTCCTTTAGGCCCTTGGGTAACTCAAATAACTGAGCATCATCGGCCAAATCCAAAAACTGCGGTTTTCGTATTGCGAGAAACAAAGGCAAGACATTCGCGTCTTGCCAATCAATGATACTAGTCACTTTTCCTTCATCGGAAACAAAAATATTCCCATCATGAAGGTCTCGGTGCCATAGCAGCGGCAGACAGTGATCAGGGGATCGAGGAACGATGTGTGGCGTGATTGTGCGAACCAGTTCCAGCATTTGGCGTACGGCTGCGTTTGACAGGTCGCTGACCGGCTTGATTGGAAAAGAAAATGGTCGGCTGGGGACAACATCTGTCTCTTCGTGGGCGCGACTACTAATTTGTAACAGAGATGAACGTGCGAGAGAATCGAGATAGTCGTTTGGAGTATACCCTTCGATGGAGTAAGCATGAAGCCCAGCGCTTGCATAGATTAGGAACATACAAGGACCGGGGTCGAAGTCCGATTCCCACAGGACTGATTCCATGAAATGTCCGTGCGCCAACGGGCCTATAATGAATCTCGAAGAGTTTGCTGCTGAGACTTCAATCTGCCGGCGAAATTTGAATTTCGCAGCATCCTCGGTGAAGTAGAGACTGCCGTAACCCTGAAATCGTTTGCTGGCCTCAAGAAGACGCTCTTGAATCGTAATAATTTGATCCACAACGCCAATTCTCTGCTTGACGCTTAGGCGGGGCCATGTGTTTTTGAGATCTGCTCCCACAGCTTCTTCTAGAATCATGTATTCACATCCAACTGTGTTGTCATTGTTGTCGCTCCAAGCCAACACTTTTGGTACCGGCAAGTTCAACTCAGCTCTTAAAAACTCCAGGGTTGCTACCTCACTTGCCGTGATCAAGCGTCGTGGAACGACAGGATCAGGAACCTTGACGATAAACCGCCGCCGACCAACTGTAGCAGTCATCACTTTGTTTGAGGCTCCTTCGGCAAGCTTCTTGACTTCAACTCTACCGGATTGTCCTTCCAACCCGGCCGTCTTTGCGACCACAAGCTTCAGAGCTTTCACATCGAATGTTAAAGTATGTTGTTGTAATTTTTGGGGCTCGTTCCAGAGCCAGCGGCCTGTAGTTGGGAGGAACAACGAATCATCAGTGAACCTTGCAAATAGGTACGAGCGAATGCTGCGGCCGATCGAGGGATCTGAGAGTCGAGGCTTCATCGTATACCTCAATATTGCAGAGGAATTGGTGGCGGGCTTCAGAATCGAGAGAGCAAGTATGACTGAGGTGAAGAGAACGAGCAAAGTCGGATGCGCCGCCTCTGTGCTAGTGGAGATGATGCGCTCCGCCGTAGGCAGGCAACAAGGTCACGTGAGATGGGAGATGGGCGGGCGTCGAGATTCCGGCGGATTGCAGTCCACCATATATCGTATCGAATATACTTCGATTGATCTTCATACTGCGAAGACTTCTTCTACAAAGACCCCTCCCCAACAGTTATAATCTAGGGGTGCCTGGACACTGACATCTCGTCCAGTATGGGTCTACTATGGCGCATGATTTGTTTTCCCACGTTCCTGCGACTGCAGCATA